GGTGACCATGGTGGCCATTTAGAAGTCGGCCATCTTGGATACAACTTTTGTTTTTCCAATAGGAAGAGGGTCATGTGACACATCACACTTATTGGTAATGTCACAAGAACAACAATGATGTGCTTGGTTTCAATGTAACTTTATTCTTATACCAAACAGTCAGCTCACCAAAGGTTTCGTACTCACCTCGTTCCCTAGCCTGCCCCCTGCCTGTCGGGCCTCTCTTGGACCTCGCCTCCCTCTGGAGCTCCGGCTCTCACGAGGACACTCTCAGGTCTACACCCTCCTGTATCAACTGGTTTTCACTTGCAAGTACAGTGGCTTGCAAAAGTGTTCGGCCCCCTTGAACTTTCCCACATTTTGTCACATTACAGCCACAAACATGAATCAATTTTATTGGAATTCCACGTGAAAGACCAACACAAAGTGGTGCACACGTGAGAAGCTAATTCACTTTATTTACCTGCCCAGTAACTCCTCCCTCTGTTACAGAGTTTCCCATCCGTGTCCTCGTTGTGCTCCCTGTGCCCGAGTGTTGTCCCATTTGACCCATTACTGCTCCTGTCTAGTTTCTTGATTTAAATCCATGTTCTAGTCTGAGTCTTGCTCCTTTTGTGAATAAACCTTGTAAATACAGTAAATACTGTAGTTTATGCGCTTTTTGACTCTGCTTTTGGTCTCGAGCCTCCACTTTGTCTGTGAATATACAGAGATGGACAATTGGCAACAGCAGCGTACAAAGGACAATGATGTACACGATTTCCACAGCCAGTAATAAAACATAAATGGTAGACAGTATCCCACCTCTTTAGGTAGTGGGCAGGTCATTCATAAAAGCAGGTCACCGTAATCCAATAAATGTGAAAAGGTTGCATGAATCAAGTGTTTTCAAGTTTTCGTTTCAGCCTTGACACAAGCCTTAGAATGTGAGTTTTAAATGACAAACTCTGATCGATAATGATCCCTGATACTTTTAAGAAAATATCAGTTTCAGTTCCTTGAATGCTTTTAGTCTTAGGAGATGTAGCTAACAACTCTTTGCCATTTAAGAAAAACATGACCTTGGATTAATCTTGATGTAACACCATTTTAACTGAACAACATCAAAGGCAGCAGAAACTGCAGGGTTTACGCTACTGAAGGAGATGAGCAGTAGATAATTGTACCAAGATGGAATGCAGCGTTTGATAAATTATCACAAAAGTTGTTTATGTAAAGAGAAAAAGAGCAATGGTCCTAATATGGAGCCCAGAGGAACTCCATTGGATACTGGGAGACAAGAGGAAGAAGACCCAGCAGCGTGGACACATGTGTTCTCGCTGACAAGTACGACATGATCGCAGCCTTACACAGTGTTGGGGAGTAACAGAATACATGTACCAGTGTTACGTACTCAAAATACAAAATATGAGTAACTGTATTCTGTTACAGTTACCGTTGTTACCGTTTAAAAAGGTGGTATTCAGAAT